AGAAAAAAAAATATGTATATATATTATAAATGATTTTTGATGCTAGAATAAGTGTTTATACAGTGATTTTTTTTCACTGAATAAATTTTTCATCAGTGGATAATTTCTTGCAATGAATATTTATTCAAACATATGTTTATTGAATAATTTATGTTTTCCAATAAAAATACGGAATAACTCTCAATAAATCAGAACAGCTGGTTATTCTAGGAATCGTCAATCACTAAACATTTATTGAATGAAAAATTATTGAATAAAAATTCATTCAATAACTTCCAAGGACTACTAAGGTAAATTTACAGGTAGGGGAGAGGGAGGGGAGGGAGACTGGTGATTATGGGATCCCTCAAAGGCACCCCTCCAACACCAAATTAATATAGATACAACATTTCAACCTTCCAAATTTCTTAGGAGGAGGTGTGGAGATGAACAATACTTTAAAAGTAGGGAAAACGAAAACGTTCTTACATGCAGAAATGTTTCGTCGGATACTATTCGAAAAAGTTTAATAGTATTGTCACGCCTGGGAACCTATTATATATACCGAATTTCAGCATATTCGGTCAAATAGTCGTCGCTAGGTAAGCCGAAACATTGTGGGGAATATATATATATATATATATATATATATATATATATATATATATATATATATATATATATATATATATATATATATATATATATATATACATATTGCTACAAAATACGCTGTCAGAATTCCCCAAGTTTTTTATGAATAATAACCTAATAGACTGTATAGAAAAAAACGGAATTGGTAAAATACTTAATTAGCTGTCAGTTAAACCCATTTGAAAGATCCGCCGCCAGAACTTTAGTTGTGATTCACATTAATGTTGTGAAATTCTCTTAAATTGTCCCCTCCCGGTAAATTTACCTTAGTAGTCCTTGGAAGCACAGTTGGACGTTATTGAATGAATTTTTATTCGAATAATTTATTCAATAATTTTTCATTAAAGAAATTTTAGTGATTGACGATTCCTTGACGATAATATTCGGAAAAGTTTTATGGCATTGTCACGCCACGCCTGGGAACCTATTCTATATACCGAATTTCAGCGTATTCGGTATACATGAAATATATATATGTATATATATATATATACGTGTGTATAAAACTGACATCTCTAAAAATTGCAGAATCGTGATCTAGGGGCTCCAATATGGATAGAAACCGCAAACCCGCCTTCCACTGAATTTCGATTTGTGTTGCCCAAAATTGGTCTTGCAGTTTTATTGGATGCAAGACCAAGAGCAAGACCAGAACCTGCAAGATTCTCTTGACTCTTACGGTCTTGCAATAAAGTTAAACTGATACTATTTGCAGAAATAGTACGGTGCTTAAATATTTTAACCATGACTTAAATCTAAACAAACAGCGTTGTTTTTCTTGTTGAATCGTATATTTGAGTATAGCTTTCCGAATAATAACAAAAAATAATCATTTGACAGAACCGGAGCAAGATAGAAAAATAAAAAAAGTAATTATGTATTAAAATTAGGACAAAATAGTAACTAATACTTGACCATTTTAGTTACTTTAGTAAAACCTCTCAGAAGTGGACACTAACTGGAAATCAAAAATTGTTCGATAAAGAGGGATGTCCGTTTTAGAAAAATTGGAAGAATAACATGATAAAAAAATATTTTATAATTTATAAATTGTGAAAATAGAATTGTTTATTCGATCTGAAATATTTTATTTTTTAATTTTACAATTTAAAAATATTTTTATAAGGAAATATATATTGTTTATAATAAAATTGCACGTACGAAACGTAAACTTGTTTGTATTTGTTACTTTTTTGGCCAATTATATATTTTTATTTTATTTGTTCATAATTGTTATTCAGAGGGGACTTTGTGCCTGAATAAGTTTTCTTTTATATTCTAAATAGATAAAAAAAAGAATTGTAATCTGTATTTTTTGTTCGAACTATCATAACTACTTTATTTTCCAATTTTTTATGGGTAGATAAAATAGTTACAATTCTTTCACTTTTCTCCTTCAAAATGAAAATTGTCTTTTTCATACAAATAGAGGAGACAGAACTTCTTCAGTATTCATTGAGGATTTGGAGGAGTCATAGATCACGAAAATTTATTGTCAGCTCAAAGGTCCAGCGAGATAATTGCTCGAAATGATATTGAGGACTCAGGAGTGTTAAGGCATGAGCCTGGCGAAATCGTTCATATGTTACTTGAACTACTGCATGTACTAACTACTCGCAATTTCTTTTTCTATTAACGTTTCCGCGTTTTGCTTTTCACAGTATTCGTTATTATTTTAAAATGCCTAACCGCCAATTTTTAATAGAGTAGCTAAATTGTAAATAATAAGCTTTTCCGATACATTCATTAATAGCATAATTTTTCTTTGAGATTTAACCGGAACTGTGTTAACATGTTAAAATCAAATCTTTAGAAATGACAACAAAAGGCTAAGACTCTAAACTCTATTTCAATACCAAATTCCCAGTAGGCATTATTGAACTAAGGTACTTTAGATTGGATTAATGTTCAGAACATGAACTCACAAGGTCGCTGGTTGGTTTTTTAAGTTATTGTCTAATGGAGCAAGGCTGGGTGTGTGTGTTTTAGGGAGCTTTCCTTACCACTTTTAAAGAAAAGTGGTATTTAAAGAGATATTTTTTATTTTTTTATTTATTCATCTGTAGTTTGCCATTTTTTTATTTGAAATGGAAGAGAATTTATTTTTATTTTTGTCTATATTCCTTCGTAAATAATAGATTATTTGCACTGTATAGAAAGTAGATTTATCCTAACGCAAGACCAAGAGGCGACCGAGGCGGTCTTGATCTTGGTCTTGCGTCCACAAATCTTGGTCTTGGTCTTGACCTTGCACACTCAGTCTTAGTCTTGCGCAAGACTTTACAAAGAGTCTTGCAGTTACCTACTAGCTTATTGTTATTTATTAAATATGTTACTTTAGATCTTAGGGGAAAGCTACAGAATAGACACATTTAGATGTTTTATTGACATAAACATAGTAAAGTCCAACCAAATTAATAAAATTAACGACAATACATTATATACATTAAGGCATCGTCAAGGACAGTAATTACACCCCCTCTCCCTCCCCCCGATTATATAGAATAGAAGAGTTGTAGAGTAATGAAAATCTTTTTTAAGTAAGTAAAGATTGTTACCAATGTTAGGTTATAATTTGGCAAAATTACGAACCATACAGCATCATTTCTCGAAAATGTAGGCAAAGAAAACAAATCTGTCAACGTTTCGCTCATTGGGGCATCATCAGGATAGGAAAAACAGCTAATCGAACATCACTCCACGATATCCAAGCGCATACTCTGCTCGTTAGCTTTTATTAGAATCCATTTATCTATGATTTCATATATCTAACAGAGCCTTTTCTTTATTGTAACCTTAGATCTAGACAATCTTGTAATCTAATTTATTTCCAATGCCAGACAATTGTCATTAAATTGTACATTGTAGTTATTCTAAGGGAACTTAGTCCCAGAATAAAATTTATTTTTCTTCTTCTTCTTCTTCTTCTACATACAAAAAACTAATATATAAATATATACATAAATTTATTTTTATAAATAGTATATTTCCTTTTGCAATAATTATGTTGATTATGTTAATTATAACTTATAATTTTTATACATAATATAAACTCTCTCATAGAGTCCATTTTTGGGGCTACGATTTGCCGCAATCATCTCAAAAATGTTTGATGGGTAGTTATGTTACCACTATATATACTATCAAGATATTACGCGGACAATTTTATAATCTCAGCTTATTTTCAATAATTTCACTGTATAAATGACTTCATGCTTGACTCTCTGTATAACGGATGCAGACAGACTTGAGATGAAGATTTTGATTGGAAAGTTTCTCCATAACGGACAGCAGCGAGTTTGTGAGCTCATGTTCTGAAAATTAATTCAATCTAATGTAGCTTAGTTCAATAATGCCAATTGGGAATTCGGTATTAAAATTGAGTTTAGAATCTTAGCCTTTTGTTGTAATTTCAAACATATTTGTTGTAACATGTCAACACGGTTCTGGTTAAATTTCAAAGAAAATATATGCTATTAATGAATGTATCGGAAAAGCTTATTATTCATAATTCAGCTACTCCATTAAAAATTGGTGGTTAGTTATTTTAAAAAAATAACGAATACTGTGAAAAATAAAAGAGGAAACGTTAATGGAAATAAAATTACGAGTAGTTAGTACAAGCAGTAGTTCAAGTAACATAAAATGTGTGTCTGTTAATCAAATGTTATTATTGAAATTTAAAATTCGGGAAAAAATGAATATAAATTATCAAAACAAAATGAATTTATAGGCTCAGTGATGCATCTAAATTGATTAGACCAAGTTATTATAACATGTCTTAGATATATGATCAAATCTATAAACGATTGTTTGCTATTTGTTCACAAAGCCAGTTATTTATTTATATTTTGCTTAAATTGCAAATGCTATAAAGAATATTGAAAAGTGTAAAATAAAGAATCCTTCATTTTCGAATTCACACTATAACGAAATATTCACTATTTTTCACCTTTTAAATTTTCCCTTCATTAGTTTGTAAACAGATTAACAATGATCTTTTAGGTTAAATGTAGTTTTGAATATAGCTACCCGAAACTAGCCAATTCTAAGTGATAACAATTTAATCATTTTGCATTTTTCCGTTTTATCATCAGTTAATCCCGGGAGCTGGTTAAGCAGGATTTTAATGTACATACTTAATAGAAAATTTAATTCTGATAAAGATATTATCAAAACTATTTTTCTGTGGCACAGAGATCAGGAATGCCAGGATTTTTATAGAAGGTGATATACCTTCTATATTTCCATGATCAATATGTTTCAGTTAAAAATTGTTTAAGTTTAAATTGACAATAAAGACAACTTGTATAAATCATGGAATAAGGAAACATTATTATTCAAAATAACTGTAAACACTTTGTTTTCAACTTTGCATACCATCTTATATTTGGTTTTATATCTCAAATTTACTTAAACAACTAGTAAAACATACATAAATAATCAAATCATTAACAAGTTCAATATACTAACATTGAATGCTATTTGAAACTATTATTAGTCAATTTGACAAAAATACGTGTTTTTTATCCACCTTTGTTATATTTATTTATGTGTACACTTGTTTGAATATAACTGCTCAAGTGATTAACTAGATATAAAAAATATATAAGCATGAATACAGCATCCACAACAATAGGTTATAAAATTCATTTTTTGTATTAATTTTTTATTGATCACAAATAACAATAAAAACTAGAACCTAACATCATTTTTGAACAAAAGAATATAATTTTAGTATATGTGTTAAAAATATCTTGGTAACTAATGTTAATAAAATACATTTTGTACATATCAGTAAAACTAAAATTTAACTACATAAAAATAAAATGACATCGCTTCATTCGAATTATGTGTTTATATTTTGACATTTCTGTGCAGCTACTGGTGACATGATTACATGTATCTATGTATTTTTTTAAACCCTGATTTATTGATATTCAACCATTTCTTTTAAACATCTTTTTAATACTATGTAATCCCACTGAAATAAAACTACCTTTGATAAAATAGATCATGGTAAAAGTGAAACAATACTAATTCCAAACAATAAATATGACTAATCTAGATAGTAATAGTAATGGAATCATTTAAGTGCAATATACCAGTCTCTCTCTCTTTAAAGTATTACTAACTCTAAATATATTTAAAAATAATTTACCATGAGAATCAAATACATTATAATTTAAATACCCCATCTTTTTTACATATTCAAAAATACACATTATATACATTTAAAAACAAACAGGTTAATCCAGAGAAAGGTACTACAGTGCACTTGTGATAGACTGTGGATATAAATCAGAAACAAGGGAAAAATGATCGGAAGGGTAACGTAATGAGGGACACCTATCTTTTCCAACCTCATTTCCAGTTGGGAATTCAAGAACATCTGTGACCCTCATTTTATTCTTTGAGTAAAATATATAATCAATAGTGTGACAAATTTCTCCCTCCTGTCTTATTTTCCAAGTAGTATATGGCGGTTCACCAGTAGCTGTTGCATAAGCACTACCCAACCGAAGGCCCATGTCAGTAGTTAGAGTTGAATAAACGGGTTCTGATGGTTCGGCATTGAAATCACCACATAGTATAACAGCCCTTCCTTCACTATGTCTAGAAATAAAATCCAAAAGATCTTTGCCTTGCTCATTTCTTAATGCAGCAAGCAGTGCTCCTTTTCTTGCTTTGAGATGAGTTGTTGCCACACATAATTCCTTTCCTGTAAATCTATTTCTTAAATTTGCCAGTAGTGCAACCTGAAAACCAATTGGAAATACATATATATATATAAAAATAAAAATAAATATATTGGCTGTTACTAAAACTTCATATAAAGAAAAATCATTAATATGTATTAAGATTAAAGAGAATTATTTTAGAATAATCAAAGATTAATAACTTATTTTATTTAGTATTGATATATACAACGAAAGATAAAAAATAGAAATTATCATCATATAACAATCAGAAAAAAAAAAAACATCCTCAGAAAAATTTACAGTTCCCGAGATTGATAAAATTTTAGAACCTGAAGTAAAATGGACAAACTTTGGTACAACGATCTTTCCTGCCCAAGGCATTACCTTATGCTGGGACTTTAATGTTCTCATGTATTAATTTAGACTTAACCATGAAGACTGGCAATAGTTTGAGCTTATTCTCTTGAAGATGTTTGACTAAACATTTGTTTTCAGAATGTATCAACAAATCTACAAGCAAACAGTTGAATATTTTTGCAATGATTTTAATATATTCTAATGTTATATTCTAATGTTAATTTCTCAATATGGCACAGCTATTGACCAAGATAATAGAATAAATTGTATTATCAGTAATTAAATTTGTTTAAAAAAACTGATACAAGTTCTTTTGTAATTACTTACATTTATATACTTTTCGTATTTCTTTTTTTTAAATAGACTAAGTGAACAAGCAAATAATGAATTTTTAATAATTAATAGATATTGGAGAATTTTTGTACACTTTGATTATTTATTATATTTGTATTTATTATTCTATTGGCATTTATCTGCAATGATCTAATTAATCCTCCACATTTTACTAAATAGCATATTTCTCTTTTATCACCGTAATACACATTTCCATCCTATATTTTTACAATATGAAAAATATATATGATAAAAATTACATTTTGCTGTTAAAACAAATCCCATTAATTGAAATATTCAAAAAATTTACTATACAAGGTTCAGTGACTGGATTAAATTTGAACACAATCCATGACTAGGATTTAATTTTGGGGGAGGGGACTTCAGCCTGAAAGCTTTTTTATCATAAAAATAACGATAATTACTTTGAAAAAAAAGAAAGAAACTAACTACCTGTATGAAATGGTGTTTAGGTGATTCCTAAAGCCCTTTTAAATGTAATTACACGAACAATAATACTTTGAGTGATAATTTTTCTAACATAAAAATTATAGATTCCTTTTTTAAAATAATAAATCCACTTGGAACAAACTTAATGGGGTGAATAAAGGGACAAACTAAGTTAACCTTTTACAATATACCAGAGCATTAAAATGATAATACATTTGTTAAAATTATTGATAATACTCTTCCTTCTCTTTACTTTCACTTACGTATATATGTAATATATAGTAAGGGTAAGTATTGAGGTCGAGAAAATTTTTGAATCTGATTTTTCAACGGAAATACACGTTTTGGGGTACCCTGAGTCCAAATAACCAAGTCCCGAAAAATGGTATGTGTGTCTGTTTGTATGTGAAGACTCTAGCTCGATAACAAAAAGTCCTACAAAACTGATATTACATAAATTATTATTATTACCTGGTTGCTTTGCACTTTCCACACCTCCAATATTCTTGTTTCAGTTTGTATTAATTCAAACTTGTCTGCAAGAAAGAATATAGCACAACCATCTGGCCCATTATTGTCAGCGATGTACATGCAAGGAGAATCAGGTTTTGGAAAAAAATGACCAACATATCCTTGTGATCCTAAAGCTTTCTGTAGGTACTTGAAGTGATCAACTTCCTATTTTGAAAACAAACAAAAGTCATTACAATGATGAGAAATGCTTTAAATAGTTTTTGAAAATATCTTTTATTTACTAAATATTCAGAAATATTTATAATTTTGATTAAATGAGTAATTTTATACAAACCTGAAGACAAATGATATCTGGTGAATACCTAACAATTTCTTGTGTTAAGAGATTTCGTCTTCTTTTCCAATCCAAGGCATCTTCAGTGCAGCATACAAAATGATCATTATTAACACCAAGGCCTAAAATAATTTTTAAATTAATATTAATTACCATATAATTGTATTTATAATATATTAAAATATACTTTTAATAAATCTTAATATAATTTTTAATACAGTTAATGATTTAGTTACTATGATTTTTTTTATAAGCAATACAATTTCATTTAACAGATCTAAACAATAACATAATACCATCAAAACATACTATAATACCAACCACTACTACATTGTTAAAAATTGTAATTTAACGTACTCTGTGATAAAAGATTCCATTGTAGTACACGAACCCCAGATTTGTCACTCAAAGGAGGATAGAAGTCAGCTAAATAAAATAAAATTAAAATTAATTAATTATTTTTAATACAATAATTTAAAACAATAAAAGAAATTTAATTGTTTATTTATCTAATTTAAAACTATTTAGACCTAAGTAAAGAGACCAAAAGGACCATCTATAAAAACACTATCATCCTCCTCCATAATGAACTATTCCTGTGAGTAATGAACCACTAAGCATAAAAGTCAAATTCAGGCAATGGAGGTGAGATTTCTGCACAGGGTCAAAGGGAAACAAGCATGTGCTGCATATAAAACTCCACAATAAGAAAAAAATCTGAACATACTACCAGCTGGGAAGGTAATGGATGAAATCTAAATCTAAATGAGGTTTGGTAACGTCCATCAAAAGAAGAAGATATAATTACAAAACAATATCTTTATTATAATTATAAATGAACGTATTGTTTTGATGCTTGATCGATATAAAAAAACACTGCAAAAAAAAGAAGAGCAAGCTCTTTCACATCAAAAGAGGATGATCTGGCCCTCTCCAACTGAGGTGGAAAGAAAGCTTTACAGATGCTTAGAGAGCCACAGGAGGAACCATCAAATTCCTGATTGTAGCCTTTGGTCTGGCCATCTATGGGAATGCAGAAGAAAGAAACTATACATAATAACTATATATATTAATGTGATTAAGAATCCAAAACAATCTGAACAGTAAAATATTTAATATTTTTTTGATGTTGGTATCAAGGCTTTTTCTTTAACTTTTCCGAATAAGAAGTGATAAGAATTGACATATGATAAATGGGCTTCAAATGAATAAACTATTTTGATATTATAAATATGTGCAAAAGCTCCAATAATGATATGTTCAAAAGTGTTACTGAAATAATAAGGACTTGAAGGATTTGCAGGTATACTATCAATTTTTATTTAATACATTAATGTCACACTTACTTAGGATATCTTAAACTCCCACCAAAGATAGCTTTTTCCTTACCATGATTGGAATTATAAAATTAAAAACTTAACTTAAAACAGCTTAAGAATTAAAACAAAAGAATTTTGGTGCAGCTTGCATTGGGAATACCACTTTTCAGATTCATCTGCAGTAAGTAAACAGATTTAAATGTAAAGATTGATTCGTAATAGTATACTTTAGTAGTAAAAAAATATTTATTTATTTTTATTAGTATTTTTTTACTTTTTCAAAGATAGTATTTTTTAAAATGTTTTTACTTACTTTTCTTCAAAGTATCTAAAAGTTTTATTTTTCCACTTCCTTATATAATGGGGTTAAACAGACAGTAAGTCACTTTTGCTTTTCAGAAAGTTTAATATTTGATTAATCTATTCATGAACTTTATATATCATGAACGTTATGTACCATGAAGTAAATTATCTATTATTTATAACAAATGTATCATATCATTGAAATACATTTAAAAAACATTCACTTTCTGAACAAAAAACAAAACTGACTTACTCAACCGCTTACCAATCAAACCTCTTTATAAAGCAAAGGCCTTACATTTGATGAAATTTCCTAACGCCCCCGTTTTGGTAATAAAGTTGAATTTAATTTATTTTGAATAATTATTGATTAGTAAAATATTGGTAAAAGAAGAATATATGTATAGATGAGTGTTTTTGTGATGAGTATAAATATGTATATATTACAATACAAACAACCATTATTTAACTTACTGCTCTTTGGTTGAAAATATGAGAAATTTTCTCTGAATCGTCTAGGAATTATTTGTGGAGTTCCATCGAGTTCCTTCGAGCAGTAGGCTAATAATTCCTCCTTGGGCATTCTAGAAGGTAGATCAATGTCATCATCTTGGCTATCCTCATTAAGAATTTTCGGGGAGGATGAGAAACTCCCCATTCTGCAATAAAAACACAATAATAATAAATTACAAATTACTATCAATATTTTATCAGGAACTACTTTTATATAAATATGATTTATTAGAAATTAAGAAAAATGATTAAAAATCTTTACAAAAAATTCAAATAAATTTATTTAAAAAATGTATCTATACAAAAAAAAAGTCATAATTTAACATTTTTTTTAGTACAAACAAAACAAAAGAAACATAATATTTTACAAGTTCTTATAATAAAAATAATTATTTCTTTCTATTGATATACAAATTGTAACTTGACTTTATGTATCCACATGCCATTATTTAGATTTGCCCTCTTTTCTATACACTCGACATGATCTTTGTAAGATACTTTTAGACACTAGTGGACTCAGGGGAGGAGTGCGGGAGAAAGAAGGGGGGGAGGTACGCCCCTTCCTTGGACAGTGAGAAAAAATGTTATCAAAATTTTTATGACTTTGCATAATACAGAGGTTTTAAATGGAACCTTTGCATTTTCTCAATTTTCATCTTCAATATTTTCTTTTTAACCATACCATTTTGCAATACGAGTCTTACTGGTTAATTCAAAGATAATCTAAATTGTGAAAATGTTATTATTCTGGGAGAATGTAATGGATTATATTGTATTATTCTGAAATTATAAAGGGTTTCTGCCATTTCTATAACTGCTATTCTGCCAGTTTATAACCTATAAACTTCCCTATACCCAGCACAGGTTCTAATTCGTTATTATTTTATCATGTCTTCAGTTTTAGTTGCCTTTGTTGTTTTATAAACATGTTAGCCAGCTCGGTCACCTGCCCTCAAGTTAATACCAACCTGATATTAAAAAAAAAAAAAAACATTTAATTTTACATTAATGAGATGAGTTTATTTCCTTCTTATCCTCCTCCCTCAAAGTAGTCACGAAGAAATACGGTCGGAATTCGTAAGATATGAGGATAGGAAGCTAAACTTGGTTTCTGCATAATTTTATCTATATATAAAGATATATGAAGAAAATCAAGTTGGTGAAAACCAATTCTTCAAGAATTCACCAAATCTATCCCCCAATCACAAAATATTAATTTATACAGCCTTTTAATGCGAGTCCTTCTTCATGGAGCGCCAATGCTATTAAATAAACCAGCCTAAACATCAGTTAAGCTCAGTTTCCGAACAGAGAGCTGAGACGTATTGTGGGATACTTCATTACAGATGAGAAACACAGACCAACTCCACAAGAACTTACAACTACCGACTGTGATGGATTTTATAACAAATCGGCTTGTTATATTTTTTGACGCGACTAATCTCCTTTTTAAGACACCAACTCCGACGGGACGGCTTCAGAGCTGGCACACACGTACAAAAAGTCTCAGACTTGACTAGATTGAGAATTAATGATTACTAAACCGACACAAGTCAACCAGTGAGCTCCGTCACTAAAATATTGATTCATCACTTACTAATTTTCATAAATTTACACTTTTCATAACTCCCTTATAATACTACCATATATGCAGTAAAAAGGGATTCCATCCCATAAAGTTAAGTTATGAAAATTTCAATAACTCCTCATTGAGACTAAAAATAAAATAAATTTGATTGTTTCTAAATTTCAATCTCCCTTCTCTGTCAAATAGGTGTTACAAATCAAATCTCCTAGAACACTTGAATAATCAATATATGTGATTCCCTATTTACTGATTAAAAAAAAAGGAGTTTCTTAGCAGTTTATGCAAATTATTGTTATCATAAGGCTACTACATTAATTAGATCAATCTTGAAAAAATATTCTTAAGTCGTGGCTGGTACCTGGTATATGACCAACTGGTAACTTGCTGGAAATCACGTCATTTATCTAAAAGAAAATGCTAATGGTTAATACTCCTTTCTCTTTTAGTATTTAACCTCAACAACTGCCAATGTGGGTTAAGATAAATGAGTACGTTATGATAGCTGCCGTACCCCGTCTTCCGGAGCACTGCCGGTAGGTGTGCTAGGAGGTCCTGAGTCCGATCTGGGTTGTGAAGGCCGTTTCCGGCGGAAGTCACCTTGACGACTCCGCTGCATCACCTCTGCAGGAAGAGGAAGTTGAGCCTATACTTAGCAGCTATTGCCAATTATCTCATCTTGAGATGTGACCTATGACCCAAGTGCATATCAAGCCTCTCGATGACCTTTCTAATCACTATAATTTCTAAGTGCTTATTGTTTTTAATTTATACTAACGTATACTGCACAATTTTAATGTGTATGCTTAGTATATGCACTTAAACTTATGCAGTGGATACGTTCAGAATTTCCTTTCTCCCGAATTACAGTACAGTAGAAATTGTGTTAGTAGTACAATTAATTACAACCAACATTAATATTATAATTTTATAAATAGTTTGCATTTTTAAAATTAGTATTTCTGATTTGGTTTTTGTTCACCTCACTGTCTGATTAATTATTATGCAAAGATTTTTTTTTTCGTACGATGAACAATGGGACAAATAATTACATCCACTATCTATTATCATAAATATTTTAAGTGTATACGATAATTTTTTTTTTTATTGATTAATAGAAGATGTTTCTCGATTTTTATTTTCAAATTTGAACAAATTATAGTAAGAAGAAGTAATGACGGATATTGAGGGACTGGAAGGTCAGCCAGAAGAGATATTATTTTCCTCGAGCTTATTAAATACGGAAGCATGAGGTGGTTAGAGGTTTAAGGGGCTTATTTAAGGAAATATGTGATGATAAAAGCTTCCCTACAAGTAAATCTGACATTAGAAAAAATATATATCTATTTTATTTAAATAGATAGATCGGAAATAAAGTCTTGCAATTAGGACGAGAACCTGAGAATGTGCAGATCAACTGTAGAGGGGTCGTAATGGCAGAGCTTGTTAAAGCGTTTACGCTTATACAGGGTTTTTAAGGGTTAAATGGCCAAACTGCAAAAATGAACTAAGGACCTCAAAACAAGAAAAAAAATTTCCCCAGAAGTTATGTCCGCAAACGCTTTGTTTAGGAGATATTCACACCTAAAGATTTTCGTTGTTATGAATTATTTACGTTATATGAAATAAATAAAACCTATTTATTTGTTCTAACTACTTTATGATTATTGAGAATTGGAATATTATTAAGAAGGCTGTTCCAACGGGCATCACTTCTTCGAATTATAGGGCAGAGCAAGACACTATCTGTGAGGCATTGAAACTGATATGAATACTAAAGAGGCCTAAAAACTCAAAAATTGTGTTCCTTGGTGATGCAGCGTCAGTATTACAATCACTGAGGTCGAAGTAGAGCAAAAGGTTGATAAGACTTGCCAAAGATCTTGAAGACTTGATGTCACTTCACAAGAAAATTGTCCTGCAATGGATCGCTGGACAATGCGACATCTATGGAAACGAAAGGACAGACCAGCTAGCAAAGGAGGGGGCTTTGAGTCCGCAATTTTATTTTAAGATCAGCCTAGACGAGGTAAAAACAGTTATTAACCAACGTTGGCTCAGAAGTCATCCACTTCACGAGACCCCAGAGATGCTATCTACGGAATAACTCGAAGAGATCAGCCCTCTCCAACTGAGGTGGAAAGGAAACTATATGGAAGCCTGGATAACCTCAGGAGGACTAACGAATTCTTTATTTTAGTTCCTGGCCTATTCATATCAGGAAGAACGCAGAAGAAGAAGACTACTTTATTAATTGAATGTTTAATGTTTACATAAATGTAAACTATAACATTCATATCAAATGTTATTCAAAGTGAAGGCATGGCCGCAAACGCTTTGTTTAAGAGATGGATTAGATAAAATACTAATATGGCCTTTCATCCCTAACTGTATAAAAACTATTGGCAACATAAGGATTAATACTATTTGGAATTAGCATTGGGGACTCTCAATAACATTTATCAGTTTGTAAGAGGCTTTCGCAGAGCACTCATCATTATGCCTTCCATTTATACTAATGGTGAATATGCCGATATGGTGTTTGTATACGGTTTTTGGAATATTAATGCTAATGTTGCCCGTCGTGAATATGCCAGGTGATTTCCGAATAGAAGATTACCAAACAAGTCTATCTTTAGCTCCACGTTTCAACGTATTAGAGAAACTGGTGAATTTGCGATAATACCACGTTCTGATAGTATTTTTGCTCCTTTAAGAAATGAAGAAAGGAGTGCGACCATATTGCAATATTTTGGTTAAATATTACACCAACTACAGTATGGAGAACTCTCATTCAGATCGACTTCCCCCATATCATTATCAAAGAATACAAAATTTACTACCACGAGATTTTCGGCAAAGAAGAATTTTTTTAGATTGGTAGTTAAATCAAGTTTAGCATAATTTTCAGAAAAAAATTCAGCACAGTAATAATAATTTTCAGCACCAGTTTCAGGGTAATGTGTGGTGGGGGATAATAGACAATATTTTAATAAGTCCGCTTTTCTTGCCGCCTTGAATCAATGAGGGCACATTTCGGGAATTTCTTAATAATGATTACTATGATTTAATTGAACATATTCCACAACGATTGAGAAGGGACATGTGGCTTCAATTAGATGGTTGGCGTGCGCATTACGGAAGAGATCCACGACTATGGCTAAATTTTATTAACCCAATCAATGGATTCGGCATGCAGGACCAGTGGCTTGGCCGGCACGCTCTCCAGACCTGACACCACTGCATTTTTTTGTTTGGGATGACATTAAACAAGAAGTCTACGCAAGTCCGGTCAATGACCTCAATTCCTTGCGAAGAAGGATAATTGAATCTTGTGAAACTATAACACATATCCAGTGCCGTTCTGCCCCTGCTACTGTTGAAGAAAGATGCCGAGCCTTTCTTAACGCTCAAGAAAATCATTTTGAACAACATTTAACATGAATTTAATGTTCACGTTTAATTAATAAAGTTACTAACGTCGAACCCGCATACTAGACTAGACAAGAACTCAACCGACGATACGGCCAACTATACCGACTACTAAGCAGAAAATCTAAA